AGTGTAAGCTTTTTACCAGATAAACCAAAGAGTGAATCCGGGTGGATCATTACATAACTAAAGCGTTCTCCTGGATCCGGAATCTTATTTTCGTATTCTTTTCTCATCCGTTTTATAAATTGTTGGATACGTATATTATTTTTATCAGGTTTCCATACAGCTGACTCTATAAACTGATCAAAATTCCATTGTTTAGGATTGGATATTGCATCTCTGAGAGTATTTTCAACAATCTCATGGAGTGAATGTGTATTATTGATATCTGTAACCCCCCACATAATTCGATCCCCTATAGTTTTAAAAAGTTGGGATTTACCTTGTTTCACTGTATCGATTCCTCTAATAAAAAGTTTTTCTGGTTTAAAGTTTGGAACATCCTTATGCGGTATTCCAAAATATTTCTTTTTACCAGTAAAGACAACAGGAAACAATACCTCCTCATAAGCCATCTTTAGATATGTCGATCTATTCTTTATTCTAAGATATGTATTTACATCATCACGTAATTTCTCCATTACTTTCATAGTAATATTAACCATTTCGGTCCAATACTCCAACTTTGAAATTGTACCTTTACCATTATTATAAGCGAGAACACATTCTTTATAATATTCAATAGGACATGTGAGATATAGAGAATCAGTGTCCCCATATTTGATTCCAAAACCTTTCTCCTTGGTTACATAGTCAGCAACAAGTTTAATGTTATATTGTCCTGCCGATGTAACACCACCAGCCAATTGTAGGAAGAAGAATGGAGATAGACCATTACCTGTTTCTCCATAAAAGGAATTCATATATAATTTTACAGCTTTTTGTTTTGAATCTAGGTAGGTGTAATCAAAACAGATGGAATTATAATCTATCATAAATTTCTCATGGGTTTCATTAATGAAAGGGATTAAGATTTCATTCATAGTGGCACGTTTTTTTTCATCTTCAGCATTTTTTTAGGATATAATCAATAGTATTGGCCACCGATAAATTCTTTTCTTTTATTTTACTAATGACTAATTCCATATACTCTTTTATTTTACCGAGTATTCCCAATTGAGCCTTCATTTTATTTTGTTTATTAAGTAGTTCTTCTAAAACCGATGGATATAATCCTTTTTTATTATCTTTATTCCCATGCCTTATAGACCAAGCATATAAAGTTTGGCCATTAAAAGGGAATTCGATTTTATGGAGAATTTCCCCGGCTTCTTTTAAATAATTTGCTTCATTAGAAGATAAGGTCATTTTTTCTGGTGAGAGATTATAGTTCATAATAATACTTGGGTATAAAGATGCGAAATCTAAACCCGTAACAGGATATTTATCTTCTAGACCCTTATCTGGAGTATTTTTTTGTTTTGTCTTGCGAGGTTTGGATTCCTTTTTGATTTTGGACTCCTTAGATTCGGGCTTTACTTGTTTTTTTTTGATTTAGAGACATGTACATCAAAACTATGATCAGATTCAACTTCAGACGAGGAATCCCCAGAATCGGAGTTATTATCTGAAGAATCATAATCGGAAGAGTTTGTATCTGAACCTGAATCTACAGCAACCTTATTAACACTGCCTCTCTTTTTGGATCTACTCTTTCTATTTTTTCTGTTCCTTTTTCGAGGATATGGACACTTGCGAGAATTATGTCCAAGACTATAACAATTCGAACATCTATGCTGAGATGATACATTATCATCATGTACCGCTTTTATTCCCTGTGATATACCTTTGGCTATAGCCTTATTTATTGATAATTCTGACATACCCTTAGTAATTTCATCCATATCATCATTATTAGGAGTATTATTTTTCTTCTTGGGTAGAAAAGAGGAAATTTTATCCATTACTTTTTCGTAAACATCTTTCGCTACAGATTCTATAACCTGATTAGATGTAGGAGTTGGGTTTATAAGATTCGCATGAATAAATTTTTCAGAATATACACCATACCCGTCTGGTGGTCTTTCTGGCATATATTTATCTGGTACTCTAGGGTAATCAATATGATCAGATTGTTTTTGCCGAGACTGTAGAACTTGTGTTTTCTGGGATTGTGTAGGCTGAAGGGAAGTGGTGGGTACCAAAGCTAATTGTGATTTTATCATACTATCTATTTCAGCTTGAGATATACCACTACTATCGGAATGTGATTTATTTTGTACATTAACGGCTGGAGTTTGAGGAATTGTAGGTGATATATTAATAGCTGAGACTTGATTGAAATTTGATCCTCCATACATGTTTGGAGTACGTTCTAACCACATATTTTTTAATGCTATGAAAAATTCGTCAATACCTGCTGGAGCATCAGATCTCATCCAAGTAAAAAGCTCACCTGGTAATTGACTTTTAAGAAATCCCAAAACTTGAGCATCATCATTGGCCACACCTAACAAAAGAGGTCGAATCCTAGTTTCATAGGTATCTGGGGTATCAAAGGGTTGAAATCTTTCTTGAGTTAATCTTTGAATTGCAGATTGTTTAGTCCCAACTGTTTCTCGTTGATATTTTGTTCTTGCCCATGCTCGTAAAGTTGCTGGAGAATTAATAGCAGGATTATTGTGAGTAAAGGGGTCATTAGCTGGTACTGGAGCATATTTTCCAGCCATCTTGGATTTTAAGATAGTACACTTAACTGCATCATCGAAATCTCCTGCATGTGCATTTTCAAGAACTGTCATATGTCCCTCAGCAAATGCCCATGATTGTACAACCTTATCCAAATAATCATCAGGTGGTTCTTGACCAATATAGGGTGGAAAGCTTGCAAGAGCGGGTTGTATTAATTTTAATACTGGTAAACGTCTATCATCTGCCATGTTTGGATTATTTATAGGTGGATTATTTTGTAAATGTAAAATTTGTCCACGTAAATTTAAAATTAATTGCTGATCATCATGTGTCTTATTTTTCCACTTTATATATCTATCATATATTTGATCACGCCAATATTCCAACATAGCTCCATGATTATGACACCTTTGTAATTCTTGTTTTAACCGGTGGGTGGATACTTTATAAATAATTTCAAGAATACGTTTGAGTTTAGACTGATCCTCCCATACTAGGCTTGCATTATGCCACAATTGTCCACGCATATCATATTTTTGTTGCAATTCTCTACCATGACTTTGGCACCTCCGAAGTTTAAAAATTAGTGCAAACTTATCAAGTAATAAAGTATTAATCCGCACCTGCATTCCTTTTTCCAATTGTTTAGTTACCCTCCACCAATGCTAATTTTAGTTCTTCGTTATATCCATCTAATTGCATCCCATTCAAAAATGACGGTTTACAAGATGGAAATTTCTTACCTAACAGATCCTCAAAAATATATCTACAACGACGCTCATCAGTATGGCGGAAACAAACTGGACACCATTCGAATTTATTCTTCTGGATTTTATAAGGTGCTTCCCATTGATGGAGTCCATTTTCACATGACCAAAGATATACATCGAAACCATTTATTTGGCCAGTTTTACCAAGACATTCTCCGCCACGCCTCTCAGCATATGCAATGGCTTTAGACATTTTATTAGTAATACGAACGAAATTAATAGATCTGGAACGAGTGTTTTCTTCCAATATACTCTGGGGTGGATACTGAAGCGTATCGATATTCACATATAAGAGTTCCTCTCTCACAAATCCACGCTTTGGAGCATATTCATCGTCATCATCTCCGAGATAATATAAAACTGGTTCATTTTTCGTTACTACAATTTTTCAAATTTTATGAATGCTTGGACTGAATGTGGGATCCGTGGCTCTTTTCTGGTTTTCCATACCTCCTTCCCACTCCGCATTAGCAAGCAGGTAACGAACTGTATCACCCTTCTTTAACTTATTCTCCTCATTTTTCCCAACAGGGCGCTTATACTTTGTAGATGGCCTAGATTCTACTCGTTCCAGTTTAATAGCTTTTGCTGGAGCTAAACCCCATTTTGATGAACCTGGAGCTCGAATGAGACGTGTCGGATAATTATTAAGATAATCTATTACTTCTGGCAAATACTTGACCCACTCTCTTATTAATTTAGGATTTTTAGATATCGATTCGACGGCATACTGGATTTTATAAAGCATCTCTGCTAACGTCTTATTGAATCGTTCTACAAGAGCTAATCCACGATGACTATAAGCACCAATTACTCGAATTGTGACATTATGCGTTTCCATTAATCGAGCAGTTTCACCAATGAATTCTTTACCACCGTCACATTGTAGAAGTGTCGGGTATGTAAGAGGGTTATTGGGATCATCATAAATTTTCCTGAATGCTTTTGCAACCTCCGAACTTTTCTTTGATGTGAGAGGAACGCTCTCTTTGTACCTGCTAGACACGTCTATTATATTAAGCACCGCTACCCATTTTTTACTTTTATAATGATCATGCGTAAGAAATAGGAGGTCGCACTGATGTACACAATTTGGTTTTTGAATTTTACCATAACTAACTCGTGGAGTATCTTTTGGTGATGGAGCGTATTTTTGCCATTCATTCTGATTATGCAACCATTCACGAACTTTTTTATACGGGAAATTATATCCTTTATCTCTGATAGCATTATATAACTTTCGAGGATTGGAATGATAACCAGTACATTGGTAAAAAAGCAATTTACATATTAAGTTTAATTCCTCATCTGGATTGATTCTAATAATAGGTTTGCTCAATTTACTCATTTTCGATATTATTCATTATACTAAAAATTATGTTTAGCAAAGTCAGAGATAAGTCAAGAGACAAAGTCTCCTTTCTATGAAAGATATAATATGCCGTAAAAAATAACCATGGCATTCCATAGATCCCGACCCCCTAATCGATCAACTCATAGATCAGCTACGGATAAAGAACTCGAGCTAGAACAAATTAACCAAGAACTCCAGGAGATATTGCAATCAGAGGTAGCCATCAACAAATCGAATGAGAAATATATAAAGGATCTGGAATGTAAGTACACCCGGTGTGAGAAAGAAATCCAATCTCTCAATAAAGAACTGGAACGGCTCGAGAACGCTTCGGAGAAAGAAAAGGCGGAGTTGAGATCGGAGATATCGTCCCTTAAAAGAAGCTTATATCAAGCTAAAAAGGAAATCCGAGATAAGGTATCCTATACCGATAATATAGAGAAGCAATTACAAGAATCAGAAGAGCGGGTTCAAAATTTAAGGCATAGATTCAAAGATATTTCTTCTCGAAGAAGCTCTCCAAACTTATATAATTCAGAAGAAGAAGATATAGATATGGCACATATAGACCCCTTTATAAATATCACTAGAGGATTAAATCGACTTGAAAACCATTTCACGGGGGGTACACCATTAAATAATCCTGCCAATATCATCCAAGGTATGTATGGCACTTTAAA